TCTGTGTGTGTCTGTGTGTCTGCACACCTGCACACAGTAGTGGTTTGTTTATCTGTGTGTGTCTGTGTGTCTGCACACCTGCGTACAGTAGTGGTTTGTTTATCTGTGTGTCTGTGTGTCTGCACACCTGCACACAGTAGTGGTCTGTTTATCTGTGTGTCTGTGTGTCTGCACACCTGCACACAGTAGTGGTTTGCTTATCTGTGTGTGTCTGTGTGTCTGCACACCTGCGTACAGTAGTGGTTTGCTTATCTGTGTGTGTCTGTGTGTCTGCACACCTGCACACAGGCACAGAAATGAAAGAGGATGTTGTACGTCTTCCTTTTCCTCTGAGGCAGGGTCTCCCCAGAACCCGGGGCTCACACTTACCTAGCTAAGTTGGAAGCCAGCAAGCTCCAGCAACTCTCTTTCCTCCCCACTCAGAGCTGGAGTTATAGGCGTTTGTGGGGATGTCCTGTTTGTTAGATGGGTGCTGGCATCTGAACTCACCCCCCCCCCCCCCCCCCCCCCCCGTGATTTCAGATCAAATGCTCTTAACTGCTGAGCCATCTCTCTAGCCCCAAGAGTAATGTTTTATTGGTCCACAGTCACACCCACTCATTTGGGAGTTGCCCATAGCTGCTCTCCAATTACAATGGCAGAACTGAGCCGACCCACAAAGCCTGTAATATTATTGTGTGGCTCCTCCAGCATAGAACTTGCCTGCCCTGGGATGGATAAGCTGTGTGATCTGGCGCTCTGGACTTCGTTCTTGTGTGTCCAGCCCTCCACAGGCCCACAGTAAAAGAGCATTCAAGCCCTCTGGCACCAGCGGCAGCCTCCCCATGTGGTGATGCTCTGAGGGTCCCCCTCCCATGGCTGGAGATCCCCATGGCTGGCACACTGGCTGACTCATTCCCAAGTCTGCAGCCTTTGGCATAGTCCTCGGATGGGGTCTGCGGAACTGCACAGACTTCTGTTGGCGTACATCTGTAAACACTTCAGGCTTCTCGTGGTTTTTCCTGACTCGCCTGAACACTAGCCAAGAAGCCTGGTGTGGGGAGGTCAGGTGGACTGCACAGATTTGAGTGCAGGTCAGGAAATCTGGTAATTTAGGGATTTCCCCAGGCACATTTATTCTGCCTGGCCAGGGAGGTGATACTGAAGACCAGCTGAGCAGCAGTAGTGGAAACAGGCATGGTGTGACTCCCCAGCATAGCCCGGAAGAGAGGGAAGTTCTTATTCTAGGAGGCAATCCGGCAGAGTGTGAGCAGGGTGTCATGGAGATTGCTATCATGTAGGAACATGTCCTAGATGGGGTCTCCAGTGGCTGCTCACCTGGGACACCTATGGCTCCTTTGGGTGGTGACCAAGGCCAAACCCTTGATGCTTGACGGAAGAGGAAAAGGACCACCATGGTTGCACGCCATCCCTGAGCTGACCCAGTCACTGCCGGCCCACTGTGGGGCTGTCACTGATTATGGCACACGTCCAGCCAGATCTGGGACCTCAAGGCACGCCTCCTGGTTCACTGTGATTTGGGGGAACTTTGAGGACCCCAAACCACCATTCTGACCCCCTTATCCTGGAAAATCCTCTAAAACCCAACTCCAGTCATTTCTTTCTAGCTGGCTTTTTTTGGAAAGACTTGGGGTTGTCTAATGAGCATTCACAGGGCTCTGTGGCTGAGAGATGGCCCTGGAGTCAGCTGTTTGGGAAGGACAGTGACTCATCCTCTTCGGCATCACCCCAAATGACCGATTTCTTTCTTTGAGAAAAATTTGTTTGGCATGTCATGTGCATGTGTGTGTGGTGTGTGCGCACACATGTCTACATATTCATGAGAGAATCTGGGGCTGACATTGCTTGTCTTCCTCCATCACTCTCTCCACCTTTCCCTAAGGAGGCAGAGTTTCTTACTAACCTGGAGCTTGCAGTTTTACGCTCGAGTGAGCTAGCTCCTTCGAGGACCCCTGTCTCGGTCTCTGGGCCCTGGGATTGCAGGCAGCCACATGCCTACCTGGTTCTAGGGAGCCACGTTCCTGTCCTTATGCTTGCACGACCAGAACGTCACCAGCTGAGCCATCTCCCTGCCCAGGACTGGGAGAGTATGCACTACTCAGAGGTGTGCAGAGGAAATCACTGCAGAGGGCAGGGTGAATGGGGGGTCCTTGAAAGTAACCAGCAGCCTGTGGTCAGAGCCAGGACTGGGTAGAGTTGGGAGATTCTCCTCCCACAGAGGCACTGCAGCAGCCTTGGGGTGAGAGGCAAATTCCATGGTGGTACACATGATCCCTGCACTCCAGAAGCTGAGGTGGAGGATGTTGAGTTCCAGCCTGGCCATATAGCAACACCCTCTTCTAAAACAAAATAAAACCCAAGTGTGGCTGGGTAGGAGGGTGTGGTGGTTTGAATGAGAATGGACCCCACAGGCTCATACATTTGCATGTTCAGCCCCTAGTTGAACTGTTTAGGAAGCATTAGGAGGTGTGGCCTTGTTGGAGGGGGTGCGTCACTGGGAGTGGGTTTTGAGGTTTCAAAAGCCTATGCCTCTCTCTCTCTCTCTCTCTCTCTCTCTCTCTCTCTCTCTCTCTCTCTCTCTCTCTCTCTCTCCTTGCTTGTTTTCCAGTGACTCAGGATGTAGCTCTGAGCCTCATGCCTGCCTGCCATGCTCTCTGCTATGATGACAGACTAGCCCTCTGAAGCTGTAAGCAAGCCCCCAATTAAATACTTCCTTTTATAAGGGTTGCCTTGGTTGCGATGTCTCTTCATAGCAATAGGACAGTGACTAAGATAGAGGCGGGAAGACATGGAGGGAGAGGGAAGGGGAAGACAAGAAGAGGATGTGGGGATGGAGCCATGCTGGGCAGCTCACACAGGCTCCTGGGGGTTATGCTATGGGCTTGAGAGATCAGGGTGCTACACTACATACTCTGGACCAGGTTCCTGTCTGTGTCCTTCCTGCCCAACTCCGGAATCCCCCAGCATCCCTCCAGGGCCTGCCCTCACCCTCCAGAGCTCTGGATGAGGAAACTGAGGCACTAAGAAGGGAGCCTGTGTGCTGAGGGTCACCCAGCAGGTACACAGTGGGCTTTGGATCAAGGTAGGTAGATTAGACCTGGTCTTAAGCTCTGAAGTCTGTACTCAGGCCATGTCAAGAGAGAGCAGCCAGCCTGGCCAGACCCCACACCCTTAGCTCAGGGGAGCAGGGGCTCCTCCTGGTCTCCATTTGATCTTAGATAGGTAAATTCAACCAGAAAATCTGGGGCATGAAAACAACCTGAAGGCTTGGAGCACATCCTATTGTGGTGATACATTGTTTGTAATCTAGGAAATAAAGCTTGTCTGGAGATCAGAGGACAGAGCCAGCCACAAAGTTAGCCACAGAGGTCAGGCAGTGGTGGCACACGCCTTTAATCCCAGCACTCGGGAGGCAGAGATCCATCTGGATTTCTGTGAGTTCAAGGCCACACTGGGCTACATAAGATTAATCCAGTCTAAAAAAGAAACAGAGTCAGGCAGTGGTGACACACACCTTTAATCCCAGCATTAGGAAGGTTGAAACAGGAAGTGATATGGCTGGGCAGAGAAAGGAATATAAGGCAGGAGGAGACACTCTCTTGTCAGGCTGAGGAGTTCATGAGCTAAGAGGTGGTGGCTGTGGCTTGCTCTGCTTCTCTGATCTTTCAGCTTTCACTCCAATATCTGGCTCTGGGTTTTTATTATAAGACCATTTAGGACTCATGTAGCACCCTATCTCTGTGCATGCGATAGAATCCCATGTCTACCTCCTCCAGTTCTGTGAACTCTTCTTCATCCCTCACACTCTATGTGGCCAGCCCCCTCTTGGCAGATGCTTTCTCGAATCTGCTGAACTGATCACTAGCCCTCATGTTCCTACTTTGCCCTGCACTTACCCTCTTCTGGCTCTCAGATCTCTGATCGTCGAGTCTTCCTTAGATCCAGATGATCTCCTGCTTGGCCAAGCCTAGGACTTGACAGAGCTGGCTGTATCTTCAAGCTGGCCTGTAGCTGGAGAATTCTCTCCGGGTCCTGCTGAGCCCCAGCAGTCCGAAAGCCCACTTATAAAATAAACACACAGACACTTATATTATTTAAATTGTTTGGCCTAATGGCTCAGGCTTCTGGCTATCTAGTTCTTACATCTTAAATTAACCCATTTCTATACATCTATACCTTGCCATGTGGCTCGTGGCTTACCAGCATCTTCACATGCTGCTTGTCATGGCGGCGGCTGGCAGTGTCTCCCTCACTCCACCTTCCACTTCCCAGCATTCTCCTCTCTCCTTGTCCTGCCTATACTTCCTGCGTGGCCACTGGCCAATCAGTGTTTTATTTATTAACATATTTGCCATACAGAACATCCCACAGCACTGGCCTGTTGGTGTGACCTTTCTAGAGACCAGTAACGATCAAGCTCCCGACCAGGCACCTGCCCGTTCTCCTCCAAGCCCTCGCAGGGCACCCTCTTCGCTCCTCCTATCCATGTCTGCCCACTCCTTTTATTTACTTTTTCTGTTTTCTTTTTCCTTTCCTTACCACTTCCCTCTCACCCTTCCTGTTTTTCTTCTGACAGGGTCTCTGGAGCCCAGCCTGGCCTCCAGTGCATCGCTTTGAACATCTGCTCCTCTGTCTCCATCTCCAAGTGCTGGGATTGCCATGCTCCATTTAATGCAGCGCGGGGGATGGGACCCGGGACTTCCTGCATGCAAGGTGAGCGCCCTACCATCTAAGCTGCGCCCACAGCCCCCACTTGACTCCTTTCTGTGCAGAGAGCAGTAGGTCCTGGAGGCTGGCACAAGGCAAGCAGCAGGCTGGCCTAACGGGGTGTGTGTCTGTCTGTCTGTCTGCATTCCTCAGATGTCACACACGACAGCAGCCCTCCTTCTGCTGCCCTCCTCAGAGGAGACCAACTGCCTCCTCAAACGCCTGCAAGTCATCCTGGACTTTCCCCTTCTCTGCTGACCATGTAACTGCACCCAAGATCCTCACAGGGGTCTTGAATCTGTGCACTTCCCCCCCACCCTTCCATCCCCTGCTGGAGTTCCCAGGGTCTTTATCATGCCTCTCTGAGATCACTCCCAGCCACTGAGCTTCTGGGATCACTCCCTCATCGGGGCCCCTACTCCCCAGTTCATAGAGTTCTCCACAGAGCTGCCTCTGACCTTGCTCTTGAGCTGCTCTTGCTCTCCTCCACTCACCCTAGGCACACTGGCCATCATCCCAAACCTCCTACCCATCAGCCTTTGCACTGACTCTGCCCATTCCTACAAGATGGCCCCTTGGACTTTGTACAGTCAGGCCAACACATCACTGCTCAGAAATATTCCTCTGGGCCCCTATTTGCTTCCTCAGTAGCATCTGTCTCTGATGGAAGTGTGTGCTTCTTCTCAGCTGGATTCCAAATCCACAGGAGGAGGGGACCCTGCACCAGGGCTGGGCCGAGGCCCGGGCTGGTTGACTTTTGGTAGAGCTTGCAGGCTTTTGCTGCCTTGTAAAAGGTAAGGCCTTTCTGCCCACCAACTGTGTATTTACAGTTTTGTCCTACAGAAGTCACTAGACAGATGTGCATGGGGTACATCAAGACATTCACTGCAGGGTTGGGGTGTAGCTCAGTTGGCAGAGAGCTCACCTAGAATGCATGAAATCCTGGCACTGAAACAAAACCAGGCACAGTGCCACATGCCCATGAGTCCAGTACTTGAGGGGCAGAAGCCACAAGATGAGAAGTTCAAGGCCTTCCTTGGGTACACAAATGAATTCTTTGCCAGTCTGGGGCTACATGAGACCCTGTCTTTAAAAGAAAAGTTGCAGGGTTGCTTGTTTGCGTGGCAACCAGCAGTAAGCTAGGTGTCCATGGGTAAGGGATTGACTCAACAGTCACAGCCAAAGGGTGCAACAGGAGACTGGCCCAGTAGCACTGAGGTGTCCAGTAGCACCAAGGAAAAGGAAGGGAGTGTGTGGTGGCGACACACACTTACCACGAGGGAGCCCCAGAGGGTAAGAGCTCTGGCTGTGTCTGTAAATATGCCCACTGATGGACGGAGAAAGTGTCAGAGAATCAAGCCTTGTTCCTTGGCTGGAAAAGAAAGAGGGGCCAGGGAAGGTGGCACCCCAAGATGGACGCACAACTAGCACCGAAGGCCAGGTCTCCCTCCCAAGACTCACTTTCCTCTCTGGACCTCCTTGCAAAAGGTTTGGTCAAGCCCTTCAGGGTCCTCGGTAGCAGAACAGGCCCCTATTCTCTCCACTGCTCTACCCCCCTGTGGAGAGGGCCAGAGCTGGGGCTAGGGTGAGCCACACCTTTCCTGAGTTCTGAGACAGGTCAGGTCTGGTCTTGTCCTCCCAGGCTAACAGTAGCCCTGAAGGGTGAATGGTTTAGCCGAAATAATCCATCTAGTTAATGGCATAGTCCAGTTATGAGCCAATCACAATACCACCCCCACCCCCTTTTGTTTTTAAAATAAGGGCTCACATAGCCCAACTTAGCCTCGACTCATTCTGTAGCTGAGGATGACCTTGAACTTCTGACCTTCCTGCCTCTACCTCCCAAGTACTGTAATTGTAGGCATGTAACCATCAGGCCTGGTTTAAGTGCTGCTGCTGAGGATCCAACCCAGAGCCTTATGCAAAGTAACCAAACATTGCTATTTTTATTTATTACTATTGATGTGTGTGTGCTCTCGTGGCCTGTGTGCTTGTGGAAGTCAAATTTCAGGAGTTGTTTCTTGCTGTGGGATGATCTTTCCGTATGCAGTGAATACATATTGCTGTCGTTGGTTAATAATAAAGCTGTTTGGCAATAGCAAGGCAGGGTAAAGTTAGGTGGGACAATCAATGAGGACCTGGATGAAGAGGGGCGGAGTCGAAAGAGATGCAAGTGAGCCGCCCAAGAAGCAAGACGCCAGAGGACTGGTAAAGTCATGGGCCACATGGCAATACATAGATGAACAGAAATGGGTTATTTTAAAAGTAAGAGCTAGTTAATAATAAGCCTGAGCTACTGGCTAAACATTTGTAATTAATATAAGCTTTTGTATGTTTATTTGGGACTGGGCTGTTGGGACAGAAAAGCTCCACCTCCATTTACATATGGCAGCCCAATGTGGGGCATATCCATCCACATAAAGCCTGAGAAAGCTTTTTAAAAAAGGGTTCTAGACACACAAAAATGGAGCCAACAGCATTTTCATTGTTCAGTTCCCTCATACAGGCCACAGTATAGACAGGTGGCCCCTGGCTGCAGCATGCAGGCTGAGCTGCAGAATGGCAGATTCCTGAAGTCTCACACAGGCTGCAGAACATAGAGATGTCTCTCAGCCGTACACTACACCACAGATCTAGACTTTTTGCTCATACAGACAAAAAGATTTAAAGATACACAGTAAGGACAGATTCACAGAAAAAGGCTTCTAAATGGGTCACAATGTGTTTGAAAAATATGTGTAGGCTTGGGAGAGAGAAGAGAAAGGGTGGAAACAATCATGGATTAAAAAAAATGATTTAAAATAATAGTAAAGTTCTTAAAAAGGGAATAGAGTAATAAAAAATATGATAAGCTACATAAAGATGGGAAATACAAAGAGAGCCTGGCTTCTATATTTTATTGTGTTGTCTTTGGATTTTTTAACTGTTAATGGGCAAATGATAATTGCTGAGAGATATTTCATTGTGAAAGCTACTAAATTAAACTAACCTACATATTTTTAAAATGATCTTGTCTTCAAAATTTAAATCAAAAGATATGTTACTTTGGGGGAGAGGATGTCCTTTTGTTTCCACAGAAAATGAGATGCTATTGATTCATTCTGGGTTAAGGAAAATCAGGTTTGATTGAGGAAGACCTCCTGAAATCCTGACTACAGAGGTGGTAAAATAAACCTAAAGTAACTACAAGACACATTATGTATATTTTACATGCCCAAACATGAAACAAAAAATTATCTTTGGCTTGTGTACAATGCACAATTTATATTAGTATTAATACAAATATATATGTTACCTTTGAAAGTTATATATTTTCAGAACAAGGAGACGACATACCAATAAAAATGGCCCAGGTGATCCAGCATCCAAAACAGCTTCAAGGCTGCTGACTGAGATGATCCAGCCTCACAGAATGCTCCAGCCAAGACTTAACAGTTATCCTGATTTTCTCAGGGTCCCTCAAAGATTATCAGTGCCCACCAATAAGCAGGAAGTAGTCTAGAAAATTACTCCTACATTCCCCAAATATTGATTATAAATGTTTGTTTTTATTTAAAGGGGGTTGGTTAAAAATTGTTATTGGTCGTAGTCAACCTCTTTCTAAAAAAAGAAAGGGGGATATGATATAGAAATATGAGAAAAAAGGTAGATTATTATGATGGAAAAAAGGATAAATTATAAGTCTACTTTAATCCCAAAAGCAACTGTTAATTTCAAAATATTTTACATTGATATGGATATTGGTTTATTGATACAAATTTAAAGTTAATTTTGTTATATCTATATTTCTATTCTTGTTTAAGATATTATGTTTATGCAACTCATTTAAAATTGTAATGTGTGATTAAGAAATACAGATTAGTAGTCATCTATAATAGTGAAACTTATAGTCATGTTAATTAGGTTTTCTAGGTATACAAAGATATATTTCATATAGATAGGTACTCTTCAAATACTTCAAAGACCTACAGAATTTTAAATGTTTTAATAATTTAGACTTTTCATGACAGTGAGACATGTCTGCTCCTGGCAGCACCAATGTAGTCCAGAAAAGATGATGGGCATGTAAGAAACCCCATAATGAGTTTGCTTGCTTTCTATATGGCAAAAGCTAGCTATGTGGGCTAGGAACCTGCCCTTGCCTCAATGCTGACAGTTATATCCAAGCTGGACCAGCAGGACACAAAAAAGGCAACTACAAAACTTTGCCAAAACAAGGTAGGACAATCTTTCAAAATTCCCTGCTTCACAGGAAAGTCTGCCAGATATGCTAGGTCTATAGGCCAGAAGTGAATGCCATGCCCCAACAGTACAGAGGAAACTTGGATGACTGCTCAAGCAGCCAGCTGCTTCTGTCATTTCTCATAATTTTTGGAAGTCACTTGCCTGTGCTTACTGCTTACTTAGGTAATATTATTTTCTTCTCAGAGCTTTGATGGAGTTGAAGATAGATAGTTATAATTATAGTTTTCCTTAGTTATGATAAAAGGTAAATTAGATATGAAACTTTAGACTCACCAAGATAGGCTAGATTATTGAATGTTTTCTCTGATTTTGTCAAATAAAAATAGACTAGATATTGTGACTATAATTATTGCTTGATAACTGTTTGTTATATGTAATTTTACTATGTTAAAGTTAAAACCTTCCTTTTTGATTAGACAGAAAGGGGGAGGTGCTGTGGGATGATCCTTCTGTTCACTGTGAATATGTATTACACTCATTGGTTAATAATAAAGCTGTTTGGCCTATAGAAAACAGGATAAAGTTAGGCAGGACAACCAAATGGATGACTGGGATGAAGAAAGGTGGAGCTGAGGGAGACTCAAGTGAGCCACCCAAGAATCAAGATGTCAGAGGACCGGTAAAGCCACAGGTCATGTGGTAATACATAGATGAATAGAAATGAGTTAATTTAAAAGTAAGAGCTAGTTAATAATAAGCCTGAGCTATTGGCTGAGCATTTTGTAATTAATATAAGCTTTTATATGTTTGTTTGGGCCGGGCAGTCAGGACAGAGAAAGTCTGCTTCCATTTACAGTTTCTCTCTTTCTGCTGTGAATCCCACAGATCAAAATCAGGGTGTCAGGTTTGGGTGGCAAGTGCTTTTACCCATGAAGCCATCTTGCCAGCCTGCCCCAGTCCTTAAGGTCTTACTATGTAGTTACAGCTGGTCTTGAACTCACTCTCCTCCTACCACAGCCTCCCCAGTGCTTGGACTCACAGGTGTGCTATAGCACACCCAGCCTCCGCCCATCCTGCATGCTATGTTCACACTGTGCTGTGCAGGAAGAGGCTCTGGCTCCCTATCTGCAAATGCACCCCAAAGCCCCCAGGTCCCCAACACCCCAGGACCCTAGGGACTTCACCTATTGGTTCAAGGAATATGGTCCCTATACTTAGGCCTCCTCCACCCCTCCCCAGCCCTCCCCAGGCACCCTTAGTGAAGCCTGGTGCCCACAGCAGGCCTGGGTAGGGCCTGGCCTTCCTGTAATTAAGGCAGCAGGAGGCTGGGAGCTGGAATCCTGTCATCCAAGGTAGGGAGGAGGGGTGAAGAAACAGGGGAACCTCCTTGTGGCCAGGCTGACCACGTCAGCAGCTGTTGGCTCTCTGGGAGCAGCCAGGCTGAGAGCTGGGATGGATCCAGGAGAGATGCTGCCGTTGGTCAGCATTGCTTGGTCCCAGCCCACTCAGTGCAGACCAGCACCACGGACTGCTAGCAAGAAAACCTTCATCTGACTCCTGTAGATGCCTGCCTGTCCCTCACCTCCCTCCTCCTAATCCCTCTGCCGTAACTCCACAGCCATTCCTCCAAAAAAAGCAGGTCACCGAGGCTCGGCTCCTAGCATTCAGCAATGCAGAGGGGCAGATGGCTTCTTTTCTTCGGCAGGAAGTGCTGCATGTGGGGGAGGTTGGGAAAGGGCTGCTCAAAGGATCACCCAGGCATCCCCTGGAAAGGAGGTCAACCTCTGAACAGATGCTTCCAGCTTCCTGTGGCCCTTGGAGCAAGCTCACACTCCAGCCGTCCCTCTGGTCCCAGCTCTGTCCCTGTGCTCTTATCGTCCTAACCTCCTCTAGCCACACGATGGTCTGCTCCCCACAGACCTTCCCTCGTCAGCCCAGGTCTCCTCTGCTCCTGTCTCCAAATCAGCCTGGACACACCTCCCTCTGCCCTCCCCCCCCTTTCCCACCCCCGGTTCATCCCATCCAGACCTTGGTCCCATTTCTCCTGCTGGGCCCAGATGAAGTTTTTCCTGCTGTGAGCCCATGGTGCTGTGAGCCCATGGTGCTGTGAGCCCATGGTGCTGTGAG